TTCCACAAGGTTGTGAGAAGGAAAACCACAGGAGGGGGCAGAGTCAGACACACCAGCCAAGCGCACTGTGTGGGCCTCGCCTGAACATGGACCCCCGTAAACGGAGAAGTGGGCAAACTCGGGGAGAAGAGACAGTATTAAGAGGTTACTATTCAGTGGGGGACAGGCGTTACGCTTATGTTTCCAAAGGAGCCCGCACGTTGTGGAAGGACAGTGATGGATTATGTGATTCTGGGAGCTGTGCAATAAGGAGGGAGGAGTTTGGGGATGAGGCGTATGCGACCAAACACGGAGGCCGTTGTGTTGGCCGGTGAAGTGGGCCGAGGGGTGCGGGAGGGGTCCATTACACTGTTTTCTCTCTCCTTTTGTATGTGTTTGACATTTTCCATCATTAAAAGTTTATATATATTACACACACACACACACACACACACACACACACACACACATTCTATCAATAACCCAGAGACTGCGTTCATGGCCAGCTCCCATCTACAAAAATTAACAACATACACAGACTCAAAAAAAAAAAAAAAAATACAAAAGGTTCTTTTTTCCTCCCTTGGACCCGAGCGTAATGATGGATTTTCTCGAGAGCCAGGAAAGCGCACCAAGATAAACAAGCCGCGCTGCAAGCGTTCCGCGCGGCCAAGCTCCCGGCGAGGCGCTCTGGAAAAGAATACATGGGTATTCTGGGAAGCGGGGCAGCACACCCCTTTCTGGGAGGAAAACCCGGGCTTCCCGCCTCAAGTCGGGGCTGGCACTCGTCTCCGAGAAGCCCCACTGCGGACCGCAGCGCGTGGGCTCCGTGCCGGCGCTCACGTCTGCCGCTGGGCTGTGCTGAGCGCCTTAGCGATGCCTGCCGAAGGCCTCCAGAATCCCTCAGTGAACATCCCGGGCTCAGGCCTCGATCCAAACGTGAGCCATGCTCAGCACCAGGACATAACGGGCGCCTCGGTCTGGGCAGCCTGTGCTGCACAGGAAGGGATCGGATGGCGTGTAGCGCTCAGGATGCTAAGCGAGGCCTGCGCCCACGTTTCCTCGCCTCCCTGCGCGGTCACAGAGGAGGGAAGACATGCACAGTGACATCGCAACTCCGGTCCACGCTGCCTGGAGGGCAGCTCCGTCCGCACAGCTGGGTTGGGTGTCCCAGGACCGAGGCCAGGTCCAGAACGTTTCCCCCGCGCCCCCTCGGCCTCCGCCAGGCTCTGGCGGGGAGTGAGGACTGTCCCCTGCATAGCCAGGGGCCTGTGTGCATGGCTGCTCCCAAATATGGGGTCCCACCCAGAGAGCAGAAGAGGAGAAAGGAAAGGCAGAGCCACAGTGCACTGCTCACTCCGTGCAGAGCTGCCTGCAGGTGTAAAGTTACACCCCCCCACCCGCTTCCTGTCCCAGGATCCCAGGGAGAGGGGGCTGCCTTTTCCTGGTCTTAAAGCGCCGGCACAAGTGCTGAGGCGGCTTCCCAGCAATGCCGAGGGGAGGCCCTCGTCACTAAGCCTGGCCCTTGCTACTTTCCAGAGCAGCGATTTTCAACCTTTCCGTCGCATGGCACAGAAAGTGGTCACTGAAACTCTATGGCACACCAAAACGCAGTGCGCCTTTGTGGGTCTGACAGAGAGACAGGCATCGCTGTGACTCAGTCACACTGGGCGGCCATGGTCGTGTTGCTGTGGCCATTTCTTATGTGACGGCCTCAGGGGGAGACTGGGTGTCCCTGGCCAAGGACTGCATGATTGAGGAACCCTGCGGCACACCGGCTGAAATCGGTGTTCTAGAGTCTTCGCTCTGAAGCTGAGGTGGGAATATAGGCTTTGTCTTCAAATAAGGGAATGGAGGCGCCCAGAGGGATGGCGACCAGGCAAAGGCACAGGCCTGGCCATCCGGCTGTGGGAGGAGAGCCGGCAGGGAAGGTGCCGACGGACTCCCTTCTGAGCTCAGGGGGCCTGTGCCCCCCACAGCCGCACAGGGCCCAGCGGAGAAGCTGGAGGACCCAGGGACACCGTGAGTGAAGCGGGAGTCTCCCTGGTGGTGAGAGAGCAGCAGGGCGGCCCAATGGCGGCAGGAAAGCAGCCTCAATCCGCCAGGTCAGTCCTGGCAACCTCTGAGGCCCCACGGAGCGCATTTATTTCTCTGCTAACTTCTCCTGCATTTTTATTTTTGTAATCACCGCCGGAGGGTACTTTTTCCAATGATCTTTAGAGAGGAGAAGAGAGGGAGGGCGGAGGGAGGGAGGGAGAGAGAGAGACTATCAATGTAAGAGAGACACATCGACTGGCTGCCTCCCGCACGTGCCTGGGGGCAGAGGAGTGAACCTACAAGCCAGGTCTGTGCCCTTGACCAGGAATTGAACCCATGACCCTTCAGTCCCCGGCCAGCACTCTAACTGCTGAGCTAAACCGGCCGGGGCTCTGCTCATTTCTTATCCGGCCCCCTCCTCATTTTAAAAAATCCTCACCTGAAGAGAATTTTTCCATTGATTTTTAGAGAGAGTAGACGGGAAGGAGGAGGGAAAGGGAAAGAGAGCAGCACTGATGTGAGAGAGAAACATTGACTGGTTGCCTCTGGCACCCACCCTGACTGGGGCTGGGGATCAAACCTGCAACCGAGGTACTACTTGCCCCTGACTGGGACTCAAACCCGCGGCCATTCGGTGCGCAGGCCACTGCTCTACCCAGTGGTCAGCAAACTCATTAGTCAGCAGAGACAAATATCAACAGGACAATGATTGACATTTCTCTAGAGAGCCACATTTTTAAACTTAAACCTCTTGTAACGCCACTTCTTCAACACAGACTCGCCCAGGCCGTGGAATTTTGTGGAAGAGCCACACTCCAGGGGCCAAAGAGCCGCATGTGGCTCTCGGTCCGCAATTTGCCGACCACTGCTCTAGCCAGTGAGCAACCATGCAGGCCTCTGCTATTTATTACCCAGCCCCTTAGCAGACGTGACCAGAAGGGCGCAGGCACCACGCACAGAAGCACCTCGCAGGCGTCTGTGCTCTGGAGGCGCTGGGATGTGCGGGGAACATCGCGGAGCTCGCTGTGTGCGGGAACAAGGCTGCGAATGCAGGAAATGAGCAGCAAAGCCAGTGGCCCAGACTGCAAAGCAGCCTGATTGGCTTAAGAACAACTTTTGTAGAAGCTGAGGGACGAGGGCTAATTAAAGGAAGCCCCACTGAGGGCCAAATCGCTGGAGGATAAGCGCGCGCGCACACACACACATACACACACAACACACACTGCCGGGTGATGGTGCAGAAAGCAAGGGCTGGCCAAAGGGTAAGACTCAGCTCACGCCAAGCAGCACCAAAATCCACCGCCTGGAGGGGCCTGCAGGGGCAGGGAGGGTAGGAGAGCCACATAAAGCAAGCCCTCTGGGCAGGACCCCGCTCACCTTGCCGCTGTGTCTCCCCGGTGCCGAGCACGCGGCTTTAATCAAGAAATGGTCAAATGAACCCACCAAACCGATCCGGCTGCTTCAACAGCGGAGCTCCAGCTAGCGCTGAGCCCGGGGCTGGCATGCCGGCTAAGCGCCCTGCACGTGAAGTTGAGAGAGTGCCATCGTCAAACGCTCACACTCCCCAGTGCCTCCATAAAGGGCAAGACTGCCGTCACACGTGCCACCGTCGCTGCATCTGCCACTCCCTGAGAACAGTGCCAGCCGCTTCCTGCCGTCTGCTGAAGGCTGACTGTGTGCTGGCGCAGCCTGATGAGCGTTGCTGTGGACTGAATCGTGTGATCTTCCCCCCACCCCACGCCCGGGGATGGTATTTGGAGATGGGGCCTGTGTGTGGTGATCAGCCTGAGATGAGGTGGGGAGAGGTGGAGCCTCCTATGGGGTCAGGGTCCTTATAGGAAAAGGAAGACACACCAGAGCCCAGCGCTCCCTCGGAACCCCCGCCACGTGAAGACACAGCGAGAAGCAGGTCCTCACCAGGTACCGAACTGGCCCGCTCCATTGCTCTTGGACTTCCAGCCTCCAGCACTGTGCGAGGGCAATGTCTGCTGCTTAAGCCGCCCCGTCCGCGGTGTTTCGTGGCAGCAGCCAAGCTGGCTAAAACAATCCCCAGGGACAGTGAGAACAGCAGGCACAGCAGGCACAAAGCACATGCCCACGTGCAGCAAGCGGAGCCAGGCTCTGGAGCAAGAGAGAATGACTCTTGACCAACAAGCATACCCTTTCTTAAGAAAACCAATCCTTCCAGACCAGCAATAGCCCCGTTTAGGAAATAACTTTGGTTCATTCCATGTGCTGACTCCACACAGCTCACAAGTCAGAAACTCATCCCCAGACTCTTAGGGGGGGATGAAGTTTTCATCGTGAAGATGCCAACACGAGGAAGACCTACAGACCAGACCGCCCAATAGCATGGTCTGTGACGATGGAAATATTCTATCCGCTGTGCTGGCCAAGGCCATGGCCACCAGCCCGGTGGTTCTCCGCTGGGGGCAAACGGGCCTCCGGGGAACACGTGGCCAAGCGTGGAGGCGTTGTTGGCTGCAACAAGTGGGCGGGACCAAGGCCAGGGATGCTGCTGAGCATCCTCTGGTCCGCAGGACCGCCCGCCACAGAGAGCTCTTCGGCCAAAGTCTCAGCGCCGAGGTGGGGAGATCTACACTCGCCACATGTGACTGCTGAGCATTTCGGATGTGGCTACTGGGGCTGGGGATGAATTATTCTATGTCAATTGAATTTGAACTTTTCGAATAAAAACAATGGAGAAATAGAAACTGACAAAATTGGAATTCCAATTTAAACGGCCATGTGAGTCTCGGAGAATGTGGACAAATATAAAACAAAGGTCTGGTTTCCAAAGAGTTCCCCTTAAAGGAACAGAGTGTCTATAAGGCAGACACTCTTATGCTCGGGGTCGGGAAGTAATGAGCGTAAACACAGTCCTAGAAGCAGGCGCCCCGGAAGCTCTCGGACTCATGCCCAGGCACCGAGAGGTCAGCACGAAAGGAAACCCGGGCTCCGGCCCTTCACCGCGGGCAACTCACTCTTGCAGGGTCTCCACCCCCTTCTCTTTGTACTGCAGCTCCTGCTTCATCTGCGCCAGCTCTCGCTTCAATCTGGAAAGCTAAAGATAAAGAACAGTTTTTGCAAAACTTGCTGTGAAAAAGGATTTCTACAGTTGTTATCACTGTCATTGAAATTTCTGCTTAGTTTGCCATTCATGGGCTCATCTACTCTCTCCATGAGCTTCCATTCACATGCATGCTGGGTGGCTCAGTGGTTGAGCATCAACCTATGAACCAGGAGGTCACGGCTCGATTCCCTCTCAGGGCACATGCCTGGCTGCGGGCTCAATCCCTAGTGTAGGTAGGGTGTACGGGAGGCAGCCGATCAATGTTTCTCTCTCGTCATTGGTGTTTCTCTCTCTCCCTCTCCCTTCCTCTCTGAAATCACTAAAAATATTTTTTCATTTAAAAATAAAATAGCCCTTGCCGGTTTGGTTCAGTGGATAGAGTATCAGCCTGTGAACCCAAAGGTCCCGGGTTCAATTCCCGTCAAGGGCATGTACCTCAATTGCACGGTCCTCCCTGGCCTGGACCCTGGTCAGGGCTCATGCAGAAGGCAGCCAATCGATGTGTTTCTCTCACATCGGTATTTCTCTCTGTCTTTCTCTCTCTTCCACTCTCTAAAACTCAATGGGAAAAATATCCTCGGGTGAGGATAAAATAAAATAAAATAAAATAAAATGCCAAAACCAGATTGGCTCAGTGGATAGAGCGTCGGCCTGCAGACTGAAGGGTCCAGGGTTCAATTCCGGTCAAGGGCATGTATCTTGGTTGCGGGCACATCCCCAGTAGGGGGTGTGCAAGAGGCAGCTGATCGATGATTCTCTCTTATCGATGTTTCTAATTCTCCCTCTCTCTTCCTCTCTGCAAAAAATAAATAAAAATAATTTTTAAAATAATTAAAATAAAATAAATAAAATAGCCGCACTGGAAGGACTGCATTCCTCACATCCCAGTCCTAGCACTTCCTGCCCACGGGAAGCACACTGACTTTCTTCCTACCGGTACTGACTTGGTCCTCAGTTAGCAAACTGGGGAGCACTGTGCCCACCTTCCCTGGTCCTTGCTCCGCAGAGCCACAGAGAGGAGGCCCTGCAGCTGCGAGCGCGGTCTCCCCCCCTCACCTGCTCACTCAACAGATTCTGGGCCCCGCTGCAGGCCTGCGTTAAAGCTGGGACGGGGGAGGGGGGCTCGCACGGTTCACCAACTCCCAGGGGTGTTTCTGAGACACCACCTCAGGAGGCTTCATTTCCAAGGTGTCTCCCGTGTTCTGATGCAAATGCAACGAAACGGAGCCCTCGCCAGACCAGCAAGACGAGGGGCTGAAGTGGTGGGAGGAGGGGCCAGGTGACTTTTTGTTAGACGGGCTGCGGTTTTAAAATGAAATAGTGGCCCTCCTGTTGGAAAAGAGTGGAGAGTACAAGCAAATATAATAATAACCCATGAAAGGAAAATCTTAGTAAAATGTGAGTGTCAGACACGCCGACCACCCGAAAATGAGCCATGATCCGCGATGGCGCGTAGGAGTACATATGGGCACCGTGTTACTCACCCTATCCCGGCGACTGGCTATTTCTGCTTTAATCTGGTGTGGGTCGTACTTTGTATTCGTTGAATATCCAGAGAAGGCTAAACAGAAGGAAAACATTGCATTTAATAAGGGACCCTTTCAAATAAAGAAATGCACACAGACAGGAACTCCTGATTCTCCACGTTAAATGATGAGGTCTCAGCCTCACATGTTGGTACTGGCTTCTGAAGAATCCTCACTTTCCCGCCTGCATGTGCGCGGGGCCCGCGGCACAGACCAGATGCCGCAGGTAAAGCAGCTGCGCCGCCGCCACGAGCGCGCCAGGAGGGGAAGGTGTGATTATGGAAAACCGCTCTACCTGGCAAATAGCACACACGCTGGGAACCATGTTTACTTTCCTTTAAAGTGCCCACACGGCCTTGCCGGTGTGGCTCAGTGGTTGAGCGTTGGCCTAGGAACCAGGAGGTCGAGGTTCGGTTCCGGATCAGGGCACAGGCCAGGGTTGCGGGCTCGATACTCAGTGTGGGGCGTGCAGGAGGCAGCGGATCAGTGATTCTCTCTCATCACTGATGTTTCTCTCTCTCTCCCTCTCCCTTCCTCTCTGAAGTCAATAAAAAATATTTTTTTAAATGAATAAATAAATAAATAAATAAATAAATAAATAAAAATGTGCACACACAGGAGGCTTGGGGAGGATAGAGCCAAAAAGTCAACTGTGGTTCTTTCAGTACAAAAGATGTTCTTTTCATTTTTGTCCTCTCTGCAGCCCCCAGATGAACAATTGTTGACGTAAGAGAGAAAGCATGCACTCAAGACCTAGAAAATGAGAAAGGCAGCTCCTAGCTCTGCGCCTGCACCGCCAGCCAGGCTGAGGGAAAGCTGCGCTTCCAGGCTGCCTGCTACGCAGAACTCCAGAGAAGCCTCCAGCCCCCTTTTCCCCCGTATTCCAGCAGCCCATTGCTGATGGCTGTCTGGCTAAAGCGTATCGCAGGGACATGGGTTCTTTTTTTTTGTTTTTTAATATCTTTTATTGATTTTTTACAGAGAGGAATGGAGAGGGATAGAGAACTAGAAACATTGATGAGAGGGAAACATCCATCAGCTGCCTCCTGCAACAAAATGTTTTTTTGTACACTGGGGATGTGCCCACAATCAATGTACATGCCCTTGACCAGAATCGAACCCGGGACCCTTCAGTCCGCAGGCCGACGCTCTATCCACTGAGCCACACCGGCCAGGGTGGGACATGGGTTCTTAAACGGAGCAGGACACATGCTCTAACCTCCGGCTACAGACAGGCGTCACTACAAGCAGCTGGTCCCTGGGGGGAGCGAGGCTCGCAGAGCTGGTCACTGTGCGCGGTGTGGTCACCCGTGCGTGGTGCGCAGCGAGCATCGAGCGTTTCCTGCGCATGAGCAGCCAGCGGCGCTGCCCACGTTGGCGCCCTGTGCACGGCTGGTTCCTCGTGCTTCCGTGTCCTTGCTCTGAGGCCTCTGAAGCTGTCAGCTTTAGGGGTGCAGTGACTTGGTTTCTAGCTCTCCCTGAGCATGGCTTCCAGTTGGTGGCTCCGGTGGCTCCGAGGTGTCATGTTTGCTCAGGCCCTGCTCTGCTTCCAAGACCCAGTTTCCCCGGGTCTCCTGGGGGAGAGGGGCACCTGGCAGGGTCAGGGTGCTGGGAGTCATCTGCCTTGGGTGATTCTCTTTACCGTCACCTGCTCAGAAGGCCCATCTGCAGGCGGTGACCCTTCTGCCACTCCTTCCACCTGGGGTCCGAAGGCTGTCATTGAGATCACTGGGAGCGCACATCTAGAAACTAGTTCAAAACCATGTCCTGACTTTCTACTGGGAAGGATGGCTCAAGACCAAGTGGCTTCCACAGCAAGGTTATTTAGCCCCAACAATACTCAAAGTGAATTTGAACAGCTGATATCTCCTTTAAAAACACCCCCCACACACAGTTCTGTCCAGCCGGTGTGGCTCAGTGGTTGCGCGTCAACCTATGAACCAGGAGGTCACGGTTAGATTCTGAGTCAGGGCTCATGCCAATGTGGGGCGTGTAGGAGGCTGCCGATCCATGATTCTCTCTCATCACTGATGTTTCTCTCTCTCTCTCTCCCTTCCTCTCTGAAATCAATAAAATTTATATGTATTTTTTAAAATAAAAACAACAGTTCTATGGCAAACCTCCTATGTAAGCCCCTGTCAGTCTGAACGCTGAACCACTGGAATCCACTGGAAATAAATATCAGCAGGAGCAAAGTGTTTGCCAATTTTATGTTCTTATATTTCCAATTGTAATCTCTCCAGACGTGGAGTAAAATGTTTTAAAAATGGAATTCTCTCTCAGACGAAGAATGTCTATTTCCAAATCCTGCAGCTTCTATCTTGTCTGGCTCTGGTTTCACTGCGGATCAGCGATGAATCATTCCTCTGACATCTCCCAGTTCGGCTTCTGGGACCTGTTTCTCAGACCTGGCTGAAGGGGCTCCCGCTGGGACCCGGAGAACATGCACACGGGCCGAGGCCTTGCTGACTCCTCACTTTCCCGTGTCAGCTTGTCACCCTCGTGTGAGGGACAGCGTGCCGACAGGCGCCACCCGGATCGCTCCCGCTGGGGGAGAAGCAAGCCCACCCCCAAGTCTAGGGAAGTTAACCAAGTTCACCCAGTGCCCATGCTCGCAGCTCGTGGCCACAAAACTTGAAGTGCGCTTGGGAGGGGGAGCAGGGACAATCGGACAAATACATGGCATCCGGCCCCCTCTCATTCCCAGCTCCCAGCTCCCTGCCACTGTCAGGTGCCGCTCTCTCCCAGGAGACCCGGGGAAACTGGGTCTTGGAAGCAGAGCAGGGCCTGAGCAAACATGACATCCTGGAGCCACCGAAGCCACCAACGGGAAGCCACCCACATGGAGGACTGCTTTGTAGTCCTCCATGGACATGCGTCTTTTCTGTGCTCTGCGCCTGAGACCACCTGAATGGCACACACGGTGTTACTTACACTGATACCCTTCATGTTACCTTTGCTACAGCCTCTGAAATTATAACATTCCAGGCAGGGATGAGGGAAAAGTCCACTCAGGTGCCTAAGACGGTGAGTACACCTTATCTTCAAACGCTAAGGGGAGTTGCAAACGCTGGCGTAGCTTTTAAGAATATAATTCAATTTCTACAAATTCCCAGTTCCTTATGTCTGCCAGGAAGTCTAATGGAATCTGTTTCTGGAGTCCAAGAAATAGCTCAGGGCTCCAGCCCCCATCTGTAACAGCACGCGCTGTACATCATTTAGAAAGAGAGCTACCTTCCTCTGTTAAGACATGTCTGCAATCTCGGGTTTTACGATAAATACCAGACTTTCACCTCTGAAGCTTTTTTCTCTCTTGACGAGCTGAGTGGGCAGAGCTATTAAATAGCTTAAGGAGTCCACTCAGGTCTACACATTGTTTTGGATGGTATAATCACCAGGTCTTAGTTGAGTTGCACCACAACAATGTAAATGATTGTACCTTGCTATTATAGGGTGCCTTTCACACTTATTTCATCTATTCTCATAAAAATCTTTATGAGCGATGATGATTATGCCCCCCACTTTAGAGATTAAAGACTGCGTCTGCAGTGACTTGATCTGCATTATGCCATCAAGTCACAGAGGCGCTTGTGTCTGGAACCTGGGCTGCTACGGGTCAGCTGTCCAACATCCCTTAAGCAGATTAGCTTTGCCAGCGTAGGAGGGAATAATGGCCCTTCGGCTCCCCAGAGCCCATTGCCCATAAGCGGACCAGACCTTTGTTTTTAACACTCAAAATGCTGCAGAGCGCAGTCCTTATGGTGCATTTCCTTCCCAGGGTACTGAAAGGGGAGCTGTGTGTCCGTCTGTCTGTCTCTCTCTCTTCCCCGCAGGCCTCCTCCCGCTGTGAGAGGAGGTCACACCCCAAGCGGATGGAATGCTTTCAAAGCCCAGTAGCCCTTCTTCAAAGACATCCTCGGACAGACAGCTCCTCCAGCCCAGGTGCGCCTCCAGGCTCCGATGGAGGGGGTGCTTGGGGAGCCGGGGAGCCGGAGGAAAGGAGGCAGGTCCCGACAGACTCCACGCTGACAGGTACTAATTACCGGCGCTGCGATAACCAGGCCCACAGAGGAGGGCACCACATTTTTTAAAAGGCACCATAAGCACGGGATCAAAAACCTCCAGCCCACTGGAGACCCGCGGGAGTAAGCAGCGAGCAGCCACCAAATGGCAGTGAGGAATCCCGTCTAGGGCAGACGGGGGATTATCTCTCAGTAAACATGTGTGCTCCGCCGCAGCCTTCTTGCCAGCTAATACCTGTGAAAAGCGCTGTGTGATCCATTTTTCTCCGGCCTGCTCCGACAAGCTCGGGAGGGAAAACAAAAGGCTAAATGGATGGACTTTGGCCCGCGGCCTAATCTAGATAGCAGATGATGAGAAGCCCTTCAGCGGAGAACCGGGGAAGATAGTCCTGTGGGAGGGCCTGGAGCTTCAGAAGGAATGTTGGCAGCGCTGATGGCTGATAAGGTCAAGCTTCACCACCACCTAACTCAGGAATTCAGGGTGGATCAGCACTTTCCCAACAGAGATAAGGCGGCTCTTTCCCAGCCACCCAAAGAGACGTGGTGGAGGCTTCTGGGAGCTCCTGGAGCCAGGGTAACATGGAGAGCCATGTTCCCGCTGCTAGAGTCCATCGAGGCTAGTGGTCTCAGCGCTCAGAACCACTTGGGGAGTAAACACTGTCTGCCCCCCTCATGGCCAACTCAACCCAAACCCGCACCCAGGCGGGCAGCGTTCACAGGCCTCTGGGAGGCTGCGCAGCTGGCAGAGTGGAGAGCCACCGGGGTAGCCTGGGACTGCGGCACTTCCCCTTCGAAGGGCCAGAGTGTTTCTGGCTTTGGGGGCCATAGAGTCTCTGTCTCAACTCAACTCTCCCCGCGTAGCTGCTCTAGATGATAGGTGAGTGAATGGATGTGGCTGTGTTCCAATAAAACTTTATTAACAAATCCCCTGAGTGGACAGTACTTAGCCTGCGGGCCATCCGTAATTTGTTGACCTGCAAATGGCCAGATACTCCATCTCAGCACATCCGGAGGCCAGAGTTTCTCAGGAAGAATGAATGAAAATGTTAACGCCAGGGAAAAAAAGTTTCTGAAATAATGAACGTATTCAGCATTAAAAAGAAGGCAAATAGAACATATTAGCATGAAGACAGTAGGAGAGAACTCTACAAAATGGAGTTGCAGAAAACGTATTGGGACTGGGTACCAAACCGCTAGCTCACCGGTCCACACAAATCAGGTTCTTTTAGCCTTATGGGGACACGCATGCTCAAATCTCTGTTCCAGCAAAGCACCTATATCTGCTTTGGTCAGGGGCAAAAATGACCTAGACGTTCTTAGTTACCAGATGGTACAATATTACCGGATCTTTTCTCTCCAATGAATGGGGTTTTGCTCAGGTGAGTCCCATCGCTCAGGGGCATCTGTGAGAGTGTGGGCAAGATGTGCTGCCCCCGCTCCCCCCTCCTCTTTCCCCTGCTGCTCCAATCCTGGAAATGGCTGTTCTAGTTCATTCTTCCGTTCGCCATCATGGCCTCATTCCCCCTATGATCAGCCAGAAGGGATAAATCAGCCATTAGGGATAAATCCCACCATTTATGTACACCAACACCGGGTGCTACAATATCTTTAGTTTACAGTCCTCCCGTGGGCCATGAGAAAGTCAGAAAGCGGAAGGTGCTCTGCCTTCCACTTGCCCCATGCAGTGTTGCCAAACAGTCGGATGACTTGTCAGCTTACAACCGGTGTTTATTCGCAGATCACTGGAGCAATGGGAGGGCAAGGGGTTCCAAAACCCACGCTCTGGAAGCTGCCCCTGCCGTGTCTAGGAAAGAGTCCAGAGCACTGAGGCTACATGCACAGTCAGGCCTGGGTTCAAATCCAGGTCCACCATTGACTGGGCATGTACCGTGAAAAAGTAGCTCAGCCTCTCCAACACTCAGTTCCTCGTGAGTCCCACGGAGGTAGCACTGCGTGCTTCCCAGTGTGGCTATCACAGCCATGCCCAGAACACTCTGGTTCGCTAAATATTGCTTCTCTGAGCTTCAAGTTACCAACAATGAAGGAATCGTGGGAAATGAGCCCAAGTGTCATTCTGATCCTAGGACAGAGCAGGGCGCCCTCCCCGCTCTAAATGACTAGCTCTGAGCGCGAGCTGGGCTGGGAGGCCTGAGCGCCGACTGCAGCCCTGGGTGCTACAGCTCCTCCCAGCAGCTCCCGACGTGGGCCCAGCCTCTCTAGGTGACATCGTTAGAGGAGGTTGTCGGGAAACGGAGTCTGAGGGGCATGTGAGAATTTCAAGTCAACACCACGGTCATCTGTTTCCTCTGCTGACGGTTTCTCCAGATGCCACTTCGAAGTCAGCATCATCGGAGCTGCTTCTCTCCTGGGCATCCATCAAATCCCCTGGGGCACGGGGAGGAGGGAACCCAGTGCAACTCCCCATTGTCCCCCGTGAGAAGGGAGTGCACAGCCTGGAAATCGAAAACTGGCTGCTGCCTGACCAGTTTGGCTCAGTGGATAGAGCGTCGGCCTGCAGACTGAAGGGTCCCGGGTTCGATTCCGGTCAAGGGCATGTACCTTGGTTGCGGGCACATCCCCACGAGGGGGTGTGCAGGAGGCAGCTGATCGATGTTTCTCTCTCATTGATGTTTCTAACTCTCTATAAATGAATGGATGGATGGATGGATGGATGGATGAAAACTGGCTGCTGGGGGATGTCCCCGCTCCACAGGCCCTAATCCTGTCGGTACCCACGAGGCTGGGCGGGCTCCTCCCTCGCTCCCTGCGCTGGGTGTGCAATCTGCAAGCTGCGATAGGTCCTCCTCCATTTGCACTTGCAAGGGCTCCAGTCCTGAGCCCCAAGCTCGCTGGCTGCACTGGAATAGGAGCCCCCAGGTAAGACACACCGTCTTCCCCGGGCAAGTGGTCCTTCCAATCACTGGCCAGAACTTCCCTCTAACTTGTCCTGCTACTCCTTCTCTCCCAGCATTCTGGGAAACACTGCCTGGAGAGCCTCTTTGGAGACCTAACACAAGGACCATGGGACAGGTGAGGTGCTACTGGAGGAAATTATTGGGTTGAATCATATGAAATGACCAATATTCAGCCCTCTTGAAGCGACAGAAATGACCATTTTATACGGATCAATCTAGCTTCTACCAAGCAACGTTCTGAAAGGTTGAGAATCTCTAACTCAGTGTTCTCAGAAACATGAAAAGCCAGCACTTCCACCACATGTGACTTCGAGGCACCGAGGTGATGGCTGCCCATCCTATAGAATCAGTTCAAGGGGGGCCATCAAAGTCATCTTACAAGATCTCAAAAAACTGAAATCTTACATAGTGCCATCTCTGACCTCAAGGGAATTAATTTAGAAATCAACACCGTGACATTTTCAAAAGCCCCAGCAACTGACTGTCACAGAACCCGGGGGTCAAAGGAAATGAGGAAATATCCTGAACTGGCCGAAAAGGCAAACGCCAGACTGTGAGGACTGCAGTTAAAGTGATACTTAGAGGGGAATCTCTGCCCTCAGAGGCCGTGTGAGAAAATCAGAAAGGTCTGAAATCAGTGATCTACGTTTTCACTTTAGGAAGCTAGAAAAAGGAAGAATAAATTAAAGCCAATCTAAGTAGCAGGAAGAAAATGAGAAAGAAAAGAAAGCAAAAAAAAAAAAAAAAAAAAAAGGAAAATAGACAAGAAATGGGGGGAGGCGGGAGGCAACCCAAAAGCCAGTTCATCGCAAAGATAAATAGAGCTGATAAAAGCATAGCTACACTGACTGAGAGAAAAAAGCAGGCACGAATGATAAATATCAGGAATGAACGAGAGAGGACCCCACCTCGGGGCCCGCAGGAATTAGAAGAATTATAAGGGAGCTTTGCGAAAACTTGACAAACTTGACTAATTCCCTGGGGGCTGATTCCAGCTCTTTACCTGTTTTTTAAGCTTTTCTCAGAACCAGCCACACACGTGGTCTCGGCTGCTCCCGCAGGGGGACAACAGGCTGAGCAGTGGCCACTGAGACCACGCGGCCCACGGAGACGAACGTATTTCCTCTCTGACCCTTCCGAGCAGCGCTTACTGACGGGCAGCTGAGATAAATAGACATGTTCCTTGAAGCACACAAACACTGGAATTGCTTCAGGAAGAAGCAGAAAATCTGAACAGACCCGGACCCCGCAAAGGTACTGCTTTTGTGCTCACAGTATTCTCACAAAGAATGCCGGGCCCCGGCGGCTTTTCTGGTGAATTCCATCACATGGCTCAGGAGGCACTAATGCCAGCCCCACACAAGATCTTTCTGAGAGCGAGGCCGAGGGAACGCTTCCCCATTCATTCTGGGAGGACAGTGTTATCCTGATACCCAAATCCGAGAAAGACATGACAAGAAAAGAAAAACCGACAGCGATTTACAAAGAGCCCAGCCTCTGAGAGCTGGCATGAAGGTGACTCACTGCATTCTGATGGGCAGTTAAAAAAAAAAAAAAAAAAAAAAAAAAAAAAAAAAAAAGACATCTAGGACATGTGAATATCTGAAGAATGAGAGAAAACAGCCTGGCAACAACATGCCATTAGACCGGAGGCCCCGCATTCTCGCAAGGCGCGTGTCAGAGACCACATTAAATCCTGTTCCGGGAAGGGAGGGGGGTGGGGGGGAGCCCCACCTCTCTCTCCTGCGGTTTACATACCATCCACTGCAGCCACGGGGAGAAAGACCCAGGCCCTCAGCCCTAGCTCTGTTCTAGATAAAAGTTTTAGACTGGGTCCTAATGCTCAGCACTGGGCCCCCACAGCCAAATGCCTGCGCTATGGCCGGCATGTCACCAGTAGGTCTTTCCACGAGTCAGCTAGACTCCGGCTTCCAGACGGCAAAAGCTGCTGCTACCAATGCTGACGTTCTCCCCAGGCTCGCTGGCACCCAGGCCAGCAGGGCCGTGCGCCTGTGGCGGCTGGCAAGGTGGCAGCTCCGAGGAAGGAGCCTCCACAGAGACAGGTACTGGACACGTGGGAAGGTTCCCGATCTTTCCATCTGGGAGCAGCAGAACCCTGGGTGGCTTCCCCGAGGCTCAGCGACACAGCTAATGCATCGGTCTCCGCGGAGGCCTTTCCCACGCCCCAAACACGAGGCTGCTTCGTGTCACCGCCTGCGATTGGCTTATCCCCCTCTTCTCTGCCTGAACGTAAGCGCCATGCAGGCAGGGCCTTTCCTGTTGGCGCCACTGTATGCAGTGCCTGGGCACCAGTGAGGCACTTGGTGTTTGCTACAGGAGAGGCTAGCACAGTGGTCGGCAAACTGCGGCTCTTTGGCCCCTTGAATGTGGCTCTTTCATAGAATACCACGGCCTGGGCGAGTCTATTTTGAAGCAGTGGCATTAGAAGAAGTTTAAGTTTAAAAAATGTGGCTCTCCAGCCGGGACCGGTTTGGCTCAATGGATAGAGCGTCAGCTTGGGGACTGAAAGGTCCCGGGTTCGATTCCGGTCAAGGGCATGTACCTTGGTTGCGGGCATATCCCCAGTAGGGGGTGTGCAAGAGGCAGCTGATCGATGACTCTCTCTCATCGATGTTTCTAACTCTCTATCTCTCTCCCTTCCTCTCTGTACAAAATCAATAAAATAAAATAAATAAATAAATAAATAAATAAATAAAATGTGGCTCTCCAAAGAAATGTCAATCGTTGTGCTGTTGATATTTGGCTCTGTGGACTCATGAGTTTGCCGACCACTGGGCTAGCGGGTGGCCCTCTGATTCGGGGGCAGCACACTGTGACCTACAGACACGAGTGGAAACTCTGAAGCTGCCTGGCCCAGTGAGGGCTGGCGTGTGCAGACGACCCAGGAGAAATGGCTCTGAGAGTCACGTGTGCTAAGCGGACGCGGCAGGGGACTCACAGCTGGCGTAGGAGCGGCTGTCGTCCTCACACATTTTGTGCAGATGCTGGAACTCCTCCTGTGCCAGCTCGAACCGCTGCTGCTTGATCTGGTAGATTTCCTTCTTGGCATTGAGAGCCTCCTGGGCTACCACTAAGTATTCTTTCAACATCCGCTCCTGCTCGCGCCGCCACTGCTCTCTGGGGTCCTCCATCTGGGTGAGCTCTGAAATGAGAAGCAGAAGACGCGAGTGGAATCCACAGACACCACACAAAGCATGCCAGGGTCTCCAAAGTCACACCTCTAGGCTGGCCAACGGTCGGGCGGCTATGGCACTAGTGAGCTCGAAAATGAATGGCCAGGCCCTATCGGGTGTGGCTCAGTGGATAGAGCGTCAGTCTGTGGACTGAAGGGTCCTGGGTTCGATTCCAGTCAAGAGCACATGCCCGGGTTGGGGGCTCAATCCCCAGTAGGGGGCGTGCAGGAGGCAGCTAATCAATAATTCTCTCTCATCATTGATGTTTCAATCTCTCTCTCCCTCTCCCTTACTCTCTCTGAAATCAAAAATATATATTTAAGAAAAGAAAGAAAATGAATGACAAGGACGCATGCTATGAAGTCTACATAACAAACCTTCCTACAGTGTGGAACATCTTCTATTTTTATTTTTTAATATATATTTTTAATTTATTTCAGAGAGGAAGAGATAGAAACATCAAGGAGAGAGAATCATGGATCAGCTGCCTCCTGCATGCCCCCTACCGGGGATGTGCCTGCAACCCGGGCCTGTGCTCTGATCGGAATCGAACCCTGACTTCCTAGTTCATGAGTCCATGCTCAATCAGTGAGCCACCTGGTGGGCGCACACCTTCTATGTTTATATGCACAGTTAAAACGAGGAGAAAACTACACAGGCGTGAAGCTGCTCATGGGACAGGGGAGACAATCCCAGACCAGTTTCACACTGTGGTGAAATGTTGGCAGAGATGAGTCAAATGAACTCATGACGGTCAAGCTCACAGACTTCCGGTCCTCCGCTCACCAACCTCCACTATGGTGCCTCGGCTCTGCTGCCCTCCCCTGGCTCTCCCCTCCCCCTCTCCCTCCCGCACCAGACAGCGCAGCCCTGCATTCCCCATGGACGTGTTGTCTCCTCCCGCCCACCAGTCCCCACTTCCCATCTGCCTTCTCTCCCTGCAAGCGCCCATCTTTGCTTCTCCGCCAGGACGGCGCCTAAGGAACTCTGAGTCCTTCGCCCGAAGCAGAGCCCATTCTCAGGAAGCGCCCTTTTGTTCCCCAAATGGAAACCCAACCAAACCATGACACCTTTGCATTTGATCGTGCCGCCCCTGCTCTGCCCACCAGGAAACCCTGTTGCCTTCCAAGTCCCTTTGCAGAGACACCTTTTTCTGAAGCCTTCCCTGCCTCTCAGAGCACATACGTCCCTATGCAGTGGCTGGGACTGCGGCTCCCACACTGAGCACATAATTGTTTCTCTATGTTTTTGTTTCCCACGTAAAGCACAGGCCCCCAGAAGGAAGGCACGCAGCGTCAGCCATCTGCACATTCTCAGGCCCCTCCATCGGTCTGAAACCCGATTGTTGAATGGGGAACAGGAGGGCTGGTCTGCTCCGAGGGCAGAGGGCCACGGTCCCGGCGTCAGATCCTGAGACTGAGCGGGCAGACTGAGCAAATGGACAAGACACCCAGACTCAGGAAAAGCTAGCTCTCTTCATGCAATGACTCTCCTAGTGGAGGAGAGTCATTGTAAGTAAGAAGTGGGTAACGGTGTCCACATTCCCAGTTCCCAGACTACGGCGGCTCTGTTACAAGGCTGGCATATTGATACACACATGCAGGCTGCTCACAGGCAAAAGAAAACAGGAGAGTGTTCATAGGAGAGAAAGGCTGATCAAATCCTCCACCCAAATCCTAAAGAAATACGCAGAATCCCAGCCGGCGTGGCTCAGTGATTGAGCGTGGACCTATGAACCAGGAGGTCACGGTTCGATTCCCAGTCAAGAGCACAGGCCCGGGTTGCAGGCTCCATCCCCAGTGCGGGGCATGCAGGAGGCAGCCAATCGATGTTTCTCTCTCATCACTGATGTTTCTCTCTCTCCTTCTCCCTTCCTCTCTGAAATCAAGAAAAATAAATACATTTCAAAGGAAGAGTTGGTTTCTCAGAAGCAAGTGTTCTGAGTGTGGTCTGGCCCTTAGGTACAAATTATTACAACAACAATAATCCTTCTTGTTCCTGGGCGTGGGGGGGTTCTCTGAAGGTCCCAAAGGGAAGAGGGGGTGCTGGCTGCTGAGCGTGCCCCAGGTGCTGGCTCATCCCAGCTGCGCTCAAGGAGGCAAACAGAAAGTCCTAAAGGCTAGAGTGTCCGTGGCGTCCCTGCGGGTGGAGACTGGGCCTCACTTTCCCGTCCCCGGGGCCTGAAGAGTGGCTGCACAGAGACGCGCGCTGACACCTGCTGTGACTCAGCAGCAGGCCAGCCGCCGGCCAGGCAGGAGGAATGAGCAGGCTGAGTTTACAGGAGGCGAGCCAGAACAGGTCCCGGCCCCAGTGGCAGGCAGGCAGGCTTTCCAGAAGGATTGTGTAAGGCAGATGCCTATGCTGTTCAGTCATACCGCCGGCCCGGGAGGCCAGGGCCTGCGGGTGAGGCCTGCTGTGCGCAGGCCCAGAGCACAGAGCCCTGGCCAAGCAGCCTGGCCCCTGGGCGTGGCCTTCCCCTGTGGGAACTGCCCTCCCCTGGGGGAGTGGCCCTCCCTTGTGGGAACAGCCCTCACCTGGGGGCGTGGCCCTCCCCTGTGGGCGTGGCCCTCCCCTGTGGGCGTGGCTCTCCCCTGTGGGAACGGCCCTCCCCTGTGGGAGCTGCCTTCACCTGTGGGAGGGGCCCTCCCCTGTGGGAGCTCCCAGCAGCACCTGGAAAAGCAAGCTCAGACACCCCAAACACACACAGACTCGAGGTACCGGGTCAGCCAAGGTGATGGATCCGCCTAGAAGCCCTCTTGCCACCCAGATACCTGCCTGGAGGCCGGGCCGCGCCTCTCCCGGGTGCCCGGGTGCCCGGGTGCCCGATCTCTGGGTGAGAGCCACACTAGAGCGCCGCGTCTCAGACTCCACTGCCCGGGACTGACACGGAAGCCTGGCCCGTCAGATTTCTTTCTTTTTTTTTTTTAGTTCAAGCTTTTTACTATCTGAACATAAAATTAAATTTCAATAAATAGAATTAGGGCAAACATAAAAGGGAAAGAGAAAATAACGATTTAAAAAAACTGTTTATTGAAAATGTGCATTTCAGATTGATGTAACCTCTAGAACTCATTTTCTTCCATTGTAGTTGAAGGGATTGAGTAAACTAGTAATTCTCAGGTTAGACCAGCGGTCGGCAAACTCATTAGTCAACAGAGCCAAATATCAGCAGTATGAGGATTGAAATTTCTTTTGAGAGCCGAAAACTGACTTCTGTGCGTGGGCCATGCAGTTTCAATTGCTCTGTACGTGTGTGCCCACACGTGGTATTTTATGGAAGAGCCGCACTCAAGGGGCCAAAGAGCCACATGTGGCTCGCAAGCCGCAGTTTGCCGACCACTGGGTTAGACTATCTCTATGCACACTCTGAATAAACAGCAAGCACAGGAGTACTCTGAGTGTTTGAGGTGCTAAGTGAGCTTGTTTCTTTCCTATTTAGCCATCTGAGCCCGAGCGGACTGACAGCACTGCTACCCTCCGCCAGCGCTGTGTATCTAAACTGCATCTGGGTTTTGTTTCTTATTTTCCAATTACAGTTGACCTTCAGATGCAATATCTGGTGGGGACCACTCTCTGAACGACATGGCTGCCAATCAGGTTTGCCATCGGGAGGTGAGTGGGCAAGGAATCGATCCTGAAGGCACCACCTCGGGCGATCACACTACGGGGACAGGCGGCACCAGGGGACCAGAGGGAGGATGGCGCTTCAGTCTCCTGTGACGGCATGTTGCACCCTCGGGCGCTCCCAGCCTGCCCCGCAGTTAACAAACCAGAGGACAGAAACACGCGTGGGGAAGCCATGTCCCCCGGCAGTAAAAAATGACCATGACAGAAACACCAGAATGAGAAAGTGAGGCCCTAAGAGGGACCTGGGTCCCCAGTGACTCCCCATGGAGGAAGGTGAGGGAGAGGCAGAGAGGGTGGAGCAGGTCTAGAATGAAATGGGGCCCATGACATTTGGGGTCGGCTCATTCTCTTGGGGCCGTTCTGTGCCCTGCAGGAGGGATAGCAGTGCGCTGGCCTCTGCCCACCTGTGTTATACGTGACAATCCAGTATTACCAGACAATGACCAAGTGTCCCTGGGAGGCAAAATCAGCCCCGGTGAGAACCACTGCTCTGGACAGTTCTATAAAAAAGGCTGATATGGCCCTGGCCAGTGTTGCTCAGTGGATAGAGCATCGGCCTGTGGACTGAAGGGTCCCAGGTTCAATTCCGGTCAAGGGCATGTACCTGGGTTGCGGGCACATCCCCAGTGGGGGGTGTGCAGGAGGCAGCTGGTCCATGTTTCTCTCTCATCAATGTTCCTAACTCTCTATCCCTCTCCCTTCCTCTCTGTAAAAAATCAATAAAATAAAAATTTAAGAAGGCTGATGTGGTCAAGGCCCACCATTTTAGCAGAATCTTGACACAGAGACCAAAAAGGGTTGGTGTATTCAAATTAAACATATAAGCCAAAAGGAAGTTAAGGTAACCAGGTGGGCAGTTAATTGTACTAATAACATGTAAGCTGTAAGCTTCACTTGGCAATAACCAACCTTCTCGTTGTGAGAGATATTCTAGTTCCACACGGCCTGGGAAATGTATGCCTTATGTTAGAAATTAAACCCTCCATTAACGTACGCACGCAGTCCCGAGCAGCATACGGGCACGTAGCTACGTAACTGCTTCACTTTTTTAAGAATTCGATAAATGAAAACTTCAGCTTCCATGTCTCAGACCCAGCTGAATGCTGCACCGGACAGTAAAGATCGTTTTGCTCTAAAAAAGGGGTTAGCGTCCTCGCGGTCACCATGGAAACTCCTTCACACATAACGCCTCCAACGTGGCGCTCTACTTACTGTTTATGTGGTCCATGTAATAAATCCCGATTTGTTTGTCATACACCGTCTCCCATCCTAAGGGAAGCTCGTCCCCGACACAATCGGCAAAGGTCAGGGGCTTTGTTATCCTGCAAGACAAAAGCAGAAAAGCAAACTTCAGAAGCAGGCCAAGTCCGCGTGCGTTTGCCGAATCAACTCCAGAATCAGGTTTTAATGCGTAATTATGTATTCTCTAATTGACCGGTTCTGCCCCAACTTTGGGTTGGAAAATGAAATCACCGCTTCGCCTAAGCAATAATCGTTGACAACATCAGTACACTCATGGTTAAAAGCATTATTATCTCAAAGTGCAACTCTAAGTAGCAGGGAAACAGATATTGAAAGTTACAGAACAGGTAAGACCAGCCTCTTCTCCCAAGCAGCGTGCTTAATGAGGTGATGACAGCAGAATGCGGCTCGTCCACAGCAGGTCGGCGGCTCCGCTTTGTTCTCCTTCCCTGCGAGCTGCCTCCCCCCTCCCCCCTCTGTCCATCCATTTCAGCTTCCATCTACCCAAATGGACTCCTCCTAGGACCCGCGGTCCTAAGCTAAGGAGTTAAACATTAACTACTGACCAAATGCCAAAGTCTAAGCGGGCATCGTAACCATCGGAGGAGATGCCCACTGAACACTGCCCGGGCGCCCGATGCGGTGGGAATCAGGGTAGCAAAGTCGCCTTTGGTTTTCTTGAGGAAAGCAACAAAAGCACATTGTCCGCAGACCTCTCTCCTTGAAGGGAGGCTGATTACAAACCACGTTTGACACAGAGAGATGGAGGAAGGGTTTCCAGATGGGCTTTTTATAAGGAGAACCCCCTCCCCGTCCCACACGCCGCGATCACACTGATTGACAAGACGGCTCTTGTAGAAAGCGGCCACGCCTATAATTGTCTGAGTCGGGCAGCTATCTGCTCGCAGTCTGTATAATGCACGCCGCCTGGCACGCATGGGAAGCCGATAACCTAAATCTCCCTACCGAGTCCTCCCACACGCTCTGCTCACGTCCCTGCCCCGGGAAAGACGGCCAAAGCCCACAAGGCCACGGCGAGTTTTGAACATGTTATTCCCCCAAACTGGTTCGACGACGAGGCTTCGTCTCTCCCAGGAACATTTAGAAACTGCTGAACACCAGCAGCATGGCCCCGATCGGAATGGCTTTCTGAACGCGTGGTTTTAAGAAACTGGAGTCTACATCAAGACAAATATACGGAAGTTACAATGTGCCACGGACATCCTCCCAAAGACGAGGCACTCAAGAGCATTGCATGCGGGTCCCTCCCACAACACAGCGTCCACGGCACGCCTCCCTCGTGGGGCGGCGATGGTGTGTCTATGGCTGGTTCCAAGTGGAGCAGGTAACAGCAGGGGTCTCAGTGTGATTCAAGTCCTGAACAGGACCAGACCGCCCCCAAACAAGGCTACTTTAAGATACACTGAGTTCTGAGCACATCTCTGCTATGCTAGATTCACACGTAAGCCCAGAGGAGATGCCCAAGCGCAGGCGCATCTAAGCACGTTTACATATAGGATCTCACATTTACATATAGGATCTCACATTTACATATAGGATCTCACTCAGGATCTCACATTTACATATAGGATCTCACATTTACATATAGGATCTCACTCAGGATCTCTCATTTACATATAGGATCTCACATTTACATATAGGATCTCACTCAGGATCTCACATTTACATATAGGATCTCACTCAGGATCTCACATTTACATATAGGATCTCACTCGGGATCTCTCATTTACATACGGAATCTCACTCAGGATCTCACATTTACATATAGGATCTCACATTTACATATAGGATCTCACTCAGGATCTCACATTTACATATAGGATCTCACTCAGGATCTCTCATTTACATACAGGATCTCACTCAGCATCTCACATTTACATATAGGATCTCACTCAGGATCTCACATTTACATTTAGGATCTCCCCAATCAGCAAACAGGTGTGAGACCTGACCTCACAGCACTGCTGAGCCCAGCTCACTCGCTTTATAGTTCAGAATTGTTATAAAACTATTGTAAGCTCATATTTTTCCATTTTCTGTCCAGTAACCAATGTGGGTAATTATAATAACACTTCTATACTCCTTGCTCCAAAAATCAACAAACTGATCCCTCCACCACTTTGGTGACTTACTCTGGCTGCTATCCAACCCACACCGCTGATTCCACTCCCCCCTAAGCCAAGCACGGAGCTGGCATGAGCACCCACAGAATCAGCTCCTCAGAGCGAGCCGTCGCCTGTGCGCCCACAGAAACCGACCAAGTCCCGCTGCTGGTCTCATCAGTCCTCAGGGCCCACACTGCGGCCGTTTACTCTGCTGACGGCGGCGTAGACAGTGCAGGGGTACCTGGCTCTCTGGACAGAGTGTGAGCTGGAACGCAGGGGGCGGCCGACAGCAAGGAGGAGCACAAAGCCGCTCCAGGGGCGCAGCCACTGCACTGGGCAGTGCCCGCAGCAGCGCCCAGGCAGTCAGCCGCTAAGGTGCTCCGCATGCCCTGTGCCTCCTGGTGCCCGTGTCCTGGTGGCCCCCGCCCTCACTGATCAGAGCTGACTTGTGCCACCAGCAGGCCAGTGTGGAAGGGACAGGGTGTGGCCTCCGGGGTGACATCATAAGACACACCTGATGCCACTGGTCCTCCTGGATCGCTGGCTCTGGGGGAACCAGCCCCGGGCTGTGCGGACGCCCCAGCAGCATGCCAGGGGTGCACGTGGAGAAGGGCCGAGGCCTCCTGCCAACAGCCAGCACCGACAGCCGCAGGAGTGAGCCACCTGGGCAGTGGACCCGCCAGCCGGGTAAGACTAGGAGTCAGTGTAGGAGGAGAAACAACTTCTGTTCGCACACAGTCCGCTGCAGGGCTAACAATTTAGCTAAGCACCGTCCTGTCAGCCACGCTCCTTTCTCATCCCCACCGGGATGCATGCTCATGAGAGCAGCTGTGCCAGTCAGCTCGGCAATGTCCTAAAAGGCACACACAGAGTTCCCATACGGCCCCGCGGTGCCATGCCCAGTGTCTACCCAAGAGAGCTGAAACCGGTGTAGCTCAGTGGATAGAGCGTCGGCCTTGGACTGAAGGGTCCCAGGTTCGATTCCAGTCAAGGGCGTGGACCTTGGTTGCCAGCACATCCCCAGTGGAGGGTGTTCAGAAGGCAGCTGATCAATGTTTCTAACTCTCCATCCCTCTCCCTTCCTCTCTGTAAAAAATCAATGAAATGTATTTTTAAAAGAGAGAGAGAAACGGAAACACGTCCACACAAAAGCATGTCCGTCCCAGCATGACTCACCGCAGCTGCAGGTGGAAGCAGCCACTGGCAGGGCATCAGCTGCTGAGTGGGCACAAGACGTGGCCTGTCATGCAGCGGCTATTGCTTAGCCATGAAGAGAATCGAGTGCTGACCAGGAGAATGCGGGCGGGCCTGGAAGCCGCGGTGTGACTTAGAGCAGCCACGTGCTGTGTGCTCCATCCCGGAGGAATGTCTGAACTGTGCGCATCCAGAGAGGAAGCCAGCGGTTGCGGGGGGCACAGAGGGCAGGGGGGGTGCAGGTGGGTATGGGCTTTCTTTGGGGGTGATAAGAAAGTTCTGTGATGGTAGCACAACTTTGTGAGCGTACCAAAAACAAACGGTATGCTTTCAATGGTGGGTTTTATGGCATATGCAAATTACATCAATTTGTAAAACCACGAGTAAAGGAACAGCTCTGTGTATAAAGCTGGTAATCTGTATTTATAATTGCTTCTCTCAAAAGATTCCCAGAGGTAATCTACGGGGTCCCGGATGCAAAGCTCCCTTCTCTATATCCTCCATTTAATGTAAAGGAGCTGGACAGAGACGTGCCAGGGAGAGGAGGTGAAGTCTCCTGTAGACCAGAAGCCCCGGGTTCCAACTTTCGCCTCTTTTCTCCCCTGCTTCCTGCTCTGTCCCCAGCTGCTGTCACACTGCGAGCACTTTCACACACTGGTTTCCTCCATTTGTGTGTTCCTCCAGGTCCGTGAACTCTTTGTCAGCGGCACTTTCTGTCGTGTTGGAATCTTCCATTGTGTGCAGCAAATCATCCTTCATTGAAGACACCTCAAGCCATCTATCAGAGCAGGCTCCTAGTTTCTGCTCGACTGTAAAGAATGAGTGAGCTGCCCTGACCGGTGTGGCTCAGTGGATAGAGCATCGGCCTGCAGACTGAAAGGTCCCAGGTTCGATTCTGGTCAAGGGCATGTACCTTGGTTGTGGGCACATCCCCAGCAGGAGGTGTGCAGGAGGCAGCTGATTGATGTTTCTCTCCCATCAATGCTTCTCTTTATCCCTCTCCCTTCCTCTCTGTAAAAAAAAAATCAATTTTATATATATATATATATATATATATATATATATATATATATATTTTTTTTTTTTTTTTTTTTTTTTTTTTTAAAGAATGAGTGAGCTAACAGTAACCACGGACTGCACTGCCCAGGTGTGTGGCCATCAATACGCACAGTGAAACAGGAGTGGTCTTTTTCGTCACGCTCTGGGGACGTCTTTCACGCATTTGTTCAAGGGCTCAGAACACGTCCATAGGGCGCAAGCGCGCTTTACTTTCAAGGAACCAGTCGGCAGGAGGACAGTGTAGCTCGAAGAGCATTTGCAGAATGTGTGGGAGTTGGGAAAACATGTAAGCAATGAACTGATAAGCAGGGTACCCACTGCTCCCACACTTCAAAGCACACTCTAGTTCCGTATCTTACAAAGCTCCTGCGATTACACTGGGCCCACCGAAATAATTCGGAATAATCTCCCCATTACAAGCTCCTTTAGTCACATGTTTAGAGCCCCTTGGCCATGTAAGGTAACGTGTTTACCAGTTCCAGTCCTATCAGGACACGGACATGGTGGGAGGCCAGGATCAGCATTCTGCCTACTACAGACAGTCGCTGGGGGCTGCAGGCCAGACCGAATCCATGCCCTCCTTCCCGCCAGGCTCAGGGCGCCCCCACCCCCTGAATGCCTGCCATCAGCTTTACCGAAGTGCAGACAGTGAGAGGTGGGCAGCAGACCACCCCCAAAACACCAAGTGGAGCAGCTCTTTT